TTCTCCTTCCTCTTCCTTGCCTTACATTCTCTGTTAATCAATTCTTCTCATCATCAAACAACAAAACCAAAAAAAAAAAAAAACAAAAAAAACAAATTTTTTTTTTTAATTTTTGCTTTCGAACCCGACACTTGGGTTCCGAGGAACCCAGCACCGGGTTCGTAGAACCCAGGCCTGGGTTCCTTTGAACCCAGGCGTTGGGCTCCTTTGAACCCAGCATCGGGTTCAAAGGAACCCCAACGCTTAGGTTCCAACGAACCCAGGAACCCATGACCCCAATGGAAAGAGAATGGGAAGGAGAAAGGGAAAAAAAAAAAGATTATAATTTTTTCCCATATCACTATTTGTTTGCCATGTTGTCTTCCACATATTTTGACATGTCATAGTGTTACTGTGAATTAATAGGACACGTCATGTGATTTTTAACGGAGGGACCAAGTTGGGGTTAAAATGGTAAACAGTAGAGACCAAATTAAGAATTTTTTGAGTTAAGGGACTCAATCGGAGGCCCGTACAATAGTTGAGGGACCAAAAAAGAGGTTTAACCAAATGAAAAACCTAACATGTCCTGGAAAAAGGGGAAAATAAAAGCTAGGTTGACTTTAGGACTTCTACTCCGACATTCTGGGACCAATTCGAGAAAAGAAGAAATAATTCGCGATAGGTTATATCCCCGATTCAGTCCCTCAACTTTCATTTTTGGACTAAAATTACCCTTGAACTTCAAAAAGTACTAAAAATATCCTTAAACTTTAATTTTTGGAACCAATTTTGTCCTTCCGTCAGTTAAATGCTGACATGGCAAAATTTTCCGTTAACAAATTCAATTTTTATTAATATTAAATATTACTTGGAAATAAAACAAATGATATGGTATTTTTAATTATAAAAATATTGTGACTAGGCATAAAAAATATAATTTAATAAATAAAATTTTTTTTTCTTTCTTTCTTTCTTTCCTTTTTTCTTTCCTTTCCTCTTTTTTTCTCCTTCTCTTTCCTTTTCTCCTTCCTCTCCCTACTGGGTTCGAAGGAACCCAGCACCAGCGCCTGGGTTCGATGGAACCCAGGACGCCTGGGTTCGACGAACCCGCGCCTGGGTTCCTCGAACCCAGGCGTGCTGGGCTCGAAGGAACCCAGGTGCGGGTTAGAGATGAAGTCCTTTCTATGAGGAATCGATGTGCTGATTAGAGATGAATTTGGTGGTTTTGTTCTGAATTTGGTGGTTTTGTTCTGAATTTGGTGGTGCAAAGCAATGAGTTTTTCCCATATTAGTGTTTTTTGTAGCTTGAATTTGGTGGTTTTGTCGAAGATTTGATGGTTTGAAGCCTCGGGATTTGAATTTAGTTTGGATGGAATGAATTTTTGTTGTTTGGTTTATGGAAAAGTGAAGGAAAATTGAGTGGAAAATGTCTGTAAAATTTCTGATGTGGAAATGGAAGAATGCCACAGTGGCGAAAAAGATATTGTTTTATTTTACAGGTCATTAAGATTTTCAACCAAAATTGATTTCGTGGCAATTTAACGTGACATCTGGCACTTCCGTCGACGGAAGGACTAAATTGGTCTCAAAAATTGAAGTTTAAGGATATTTTTAGTACTTTTTGAAGTTCAAGGGTAATTTTAGTCCAAAAATGAAAGTTAAGGGACTGAATCGGGGATATAACCTTCGCGATATTTCAACATTAAACAGTGATTTAACAGAAATAATTCAACTTTAAGTTGATCGCAGGAGGTGGCTCCGTACCAGCAACGACTTCCCGAGCGAAAATGGAGATCTTTAAGGAAGAAACGGGATCTCTGTAATCCAGAGGAACAGTGAAACGGTGATCTCGGAGACGGAGATCTGGTACTGAGTACCACTTCCCGGTAGCGTGTTCCGGAAATGACTCGCCCGATGAATCGACTATGGGTGCTGCCATAGCAGTTGTACGGCACGAGTTCCTGCGATAGTGGGGGTTGAGAAGTTCGATGGCCGGAGTTAGTCGGTGAGACACAATGCGCGGAGATAACGAAGAAAGAATGCCGTACAATACAAGAGTTTTTATCCAGAGGGGTGGCGCGTGCATTACCAACATATTTGGGGGAGTGAAGACATAGAAACGCGCCTTTTGTCTCTAGAGATTAGATATGTCAGCTGCTCCGAGTCGTTCGATGGATAAACGTAGACCATTGGAAATCACCGATGGCCCCTATTTAAAATTAAAATTAAGTGCCTAATGGGTTAGTATACTCGGGTGGTATGGTATGGAGAAAAATGGAAAATATTTTCTTATTTAGTTATAAAAAAAATTAAGGAAGAAGAAGAGGAAGAAAGTCTTTTGTTTTTTGTTTTATCATGTTATAATTGTTTTTTAAGCATATTTTGTAATTTTATTACGTTATAATTGTTTTTTCTTTAAATTTGCTGCTTCAGCATTTAGTGTGTGACGTGTGACCATTATAAATTTCATATCAACATTAACAAATTACTCTCTTTATCTAAAAATAATGATTATTTTTAAA